ATGAAGCTATTCATCCATGGTAACCGGAAGTAATTTTGTTCATGAAATCACCACTTTTCTGTCAAGACAACAGATCGCGGTATGAAGCTATTCATCCATGGTAACCGGAAGTAATTTTGTTCATGAAATCACCACTTTTCTGTCAAGACAACAGATCGCGGTATGAAGCTATTCATCCATGGTAACCGGAAGTAATTTTGTTCATGAAATCACCACTTTTCTGTCAAGACAACAGATGCGGTATGAAGCTATTCATCCATGGTAACCGGAAGTAATTTTGTTCATGAAATCACCACTTTTCTATCAAGACAACAGATGCGGTATGAAGCTATTCATCCATGGTAACCGAGTTTTATCTTGTCCGAATAGCTTTGCTCTTCTGTTCATTTCCTATTAAGAATTCTTTCTTGGAACTCTGATCTTACCCCTCAAAAATTCGAAGACAGAACAAGGCCGATAGCAACGAATGAGATGGATGACAAAAAGAACAACACAAAAGTGTACCCAGATGGCGCTGTGTGGAATGGGGAACTTATTCAACGAGTTGCCACTTTGGGAGTGATTATGACGGCGACTTTAGTTGGAAACATGATTATTGTGTTGGTCCTATCGCGGTCACGTTACCGGAAACGATCCTCTAGAGTCAACATCTTCATTCTAAACCTTGCTATTGGAGACCTCGCTGTTTGCTTCATCACCATGACGTCAGAGATGTTGTTTGAGGTGAGAGAAAAACAACAACAATAGTTTAATGTGTTAAAATGCTTTGATAAATTTATGCTATTATTTGCTACTAGATGCTAATATGGTAGTATTAATATCATTCGTAAAGTAGGCCATTATAAAAATAAAGCAATCTAGTACGCTAATAAGTAATTAGTTATTGTCTGGAAATATGTTGTATTGAGAACACCAGTCAACATCAGAAGGTTATCCTAGAAAACAAATTTATTTTCTATTTTTTTCATGTCAATGCACACATAATCTTGTATTTTCAATATATTCGACTGATAATTCTTGTGTAAGGATTTAATAAAATAGTAAGTTGACGACTCCAACGTTTTAAAATTATTTTTTATTTGATGCTCACTGCGGGGAATCTAACCACAGATTTTTGCGTTGGAAGTCCGTAAACTTACCGCTTTTTTAAAATGCTCAGTAATCTTTTGTTTAAAGTTAAAAGCAATAAAAACTAAAACGAAATTCTCTACTTGTCCGGGTGGAGCATGTTTCACCTTCTTCAGGAGACAAGAAAGACAAAAAAAAAATTCATTTATATACCCATGTAAATATACATCTACAATTTGTATTCTTTTTACAGTGGCGCCATTTACAAAATTGATTTTCAGATCACGCCACTCATTATCACAAAAATGTCCTCATTTTCGTCTTTTGCTCATAGGGCTGTTAATGTCTCTTCGTTTAATGAAGATTTAATGCTAGAATTGAATTATTTAAAATATATATTGCGATTGATACAGATTATGATCTTGATATTATATATATAATCCATAAAAAAGCATTGTAATAAAATACAAATTTCTGAATAGGTAATAGAAATAAAGAAAGAATATGTTTGCCATACTTTCCATCATTGCCAACAACAATGTGTTCATGAAAAATACCGGTTGTTTAATAAAATACAAATTTCTGAATAAGTAATAGAAATAAAGAAAGAATATGTTTGCCATACTTTCCATCATTGCCAACAACAATGTGTTCATGAAAAATACCGGTTGTTTAATAACCGTTACTCCTCAATTAAAATTAATTAGTATCATTAACAGTATGAAAGATAAAAGTGACGTAAAGGAGAATTGTGGAATATATATAAAAAAAAATTGTATTTGCGGTTTAGGTTATATTGGAAAGACAAGTAGAAATTTGAAATTTAGAATTAAAGAACATAAAGATGCCGTTGATAAATTTAAAACTAGTGATTTGGCCTTGGTGGAACACGTGGCGAACTCTTCACGTATTATTGAGTGGGACAATGTACAAATACTTTAAGTAGTAAAATTAAAAATGAATTGAATATAACGGAATCATTAAAAATAGTTAAAAACATAATGATTATGAATAGAGATTTAGATCCTGGTGCCACAGAAGTAAATTTCTGGAAATCAAATTTGTAAATTGCGCCACTGTACAAAATGCAAATTGTATATGTACATTTACATGGAGATATAAATGAACTTTATTTTGTGTATATCTTGTCTATTGAAGATGGAGGAGTATGTTCCACCGAAACATGTGAAGAGTTTGTTAATTCTTTTTTTGCTTTTAACTTTTTTCAATAGATTATTGTGCATTTTAAAATGTTAGAGTTGTCAACTTGTTATTTATGTTAGAGTTGTCAACTTGTTATTTATGTTAGAGTTGTCAACTTGTTATTTATGTTAGAGTTGTCAACTTGTTATTTATGTTAGAGTTGTCAAC